TCCAAAATCTAACTCAACTAAAGATGTTACTTGTTATAATTGTGGTCAAAAAGGACATTATTCAAATAAGTGTAAAGACAAACACAAATTAAAGGATAAAGTAAATCAACTTCAAATTGATGATAACTCCAAAAATCAGTTATATGATATTTTCCAATTAAATCACTCTGTTAGTAATTCTTCCTCTTCTGATCAACCTGATACGTCATCTGATTACCATTCACCTAGTGATAATTTCGATAATGATATTACCATAGGTTGTAATGATGTTTGTTGTAAACCAGTTAAACAAATTACTGTCCTCACCAAAACTACTCAAGAAGAATCTGCTTTAATTGACCTAATTAGTAAATTAGATGATCCCAAGTTAAAACAAAAATATACTGATAAATTAAAATCCCTCTTAATCCATTCAGATTCCAAACCTAAATTTGATAAACCTATCATTAGTCTATCCAAAACTTTAGAACGATTTAAAAATAAACAAAAAGATGTCACATTACAAGATTTACAACAAGAAATTAATCAGATTAAACAAACAATCAAAGAATTACAGCATAAAGATAAAAAATTAGAGGATGAAATTATTACTTTAAAACTTGATAAAAGTTTAGACAATTTCCAAACCAATGAACATGAATCCCCACATGAATCTGAACATGAATCTGATCCTACTAATCCTGATAATTTAATATTCGACAACCGATCACACCACTCTCAATCCAACAATCCTGAAGAAAAACGGTTAAGTCTAATCAACAAACTTTATATTCAAAAATGGTATTCTAAAATCAAAATAATTGTAAATAATTTTGAATTAGAATTAATTGCCTTAATTGATACTGGTGCTGATTTAAATTGTATCCAAGAAGGATTACTTCCTACTACATATTATGAAAAATGTCAAGAAAAATTAACTTCTGCTAATGGTACTAAAATGCATATCAAATATAAATTACCAAACGTACATGTTTGCCAAGATAATATATGTTTTAACACCTCTTTTGTTTTAGTCACAAATATGACAGATAAAATTATTTTGGGTTCCCCATTTATATATTTACTATATCCCTTTACTACATCTAGTACCGGAATTACTACACATGTTCTAGGCCAACCAGTTACATTTAAGTTTTTATCTCCTCCTGAATTATTATACTTAAATCAATTAAAAGATTGTTCTATTTCTCATCAAATTAATCGCCTTACTCGGCATTTAAAATTTCTAAAAGAAGAAATCAATCACAAAAGAATTGATCAACAACTAACTAATCCAGTTCTTGTCTCTCAAATTAATGATTTTCAATTAAAACTTGAATCAACTGTTTGTTCTACTTTACCTACTGCTTTCTGGCATAGGAAAAAACATGTTGTTACCTTACCCTATATTAAGAATTTTCATGAATCCCAAATTCCTACTAAATCTCGACCTATCCAAATGAATCATGAATTACTTGAAATGTGTAAAAAAAAAATTAAAGAATTATTAAGAAATCGCATCATTAGCCCAAGTAAATCACCTTGGTCCTGCCCCGCTTTTTATGTTAATAAAAATGCTGAATTAGAACGAGGTGTCCCTCGACTTGTTATTAATTACAAACCATTAAATTCTGTTTTAGAATGGATTCGGTATCCTATTCCTAATAAAAAAGACTTAATTAAACGACTTAGTCAAGCCGTTATTTTCAGTAAATTCGACTTAAAAAGTGGTTTTTGGCAAATACAAATTCACCCTAAAGATCGGTATAAAACTGCATTTAATACACCCTTTGGTCAATATGAATGGAATGTCATGCCATTTGGGTTAAAAAATGCTCCTAGTGAATTTCAACATATAATGAATGATATATTTAATCATTTAGTCATTTTTCCCATTGTCTACATTGATGACATATTAAATCTTCGACAATCAATTAGTGAGCATTGGAACTTAACTGCTTTATTTACACAATTAAAAGTCATGGTCTTTTATTTCTGCTTCTCTAAAATTAAATTATTTCAAACTAAGTCAGATTTTAGGATATGATTTCATCATATTACTCTACCTATTAGTCGATCCATTGAATTTGCTTCAACAATTCCCTGTGAAATCCTTGATTAAAACCTCCAATTACAAAGGTTTTAGGTTCCCTCAAATTAATGCTGAGTTTTACAAAGACTTAGGAAAACTTGTCAACCTCTATTTGATAGTTAAAGATAATCCTCCTCCTTGGTCTTCTGTTCATACTTCTAGTTCAACAAGTCAAACATATGTTTAAGTCTCTTCATTGTCTTGGTATTCCCACTGAAAATTCATTCAAAATTATTCAAAACTGATGCCTCGATATTGGTTATGTGGATTCTCCTTCGCAACTTACTCCTCAATCATCTGAACAAATTGTTTCGTTATCATTCTGGTGTCTGGAATACAAGCACAATTTAATTATGTACTATTAAAAGGAAATTTTATCACTGTTTTATGTATTCGAAAAATTTCAAGATGATGTTTTTAAATCAAAATTCTTACTTTCGTCGTTGATTGCAAACCTGCTAAATTTTATTTTAGAAAAAGAATGTTAAACTTGCTAGTAAAAGATTTTTGCCCGTTGGCAAAGCTATTTTAAGGTATTTTTGATTTGATATTACTATATCCCTGGTTGTCAAATTCCCTCCCTGATTTTTTACCCGGGAATTTTACAGGGGGATTAAGAGATGATGCCCATTTACTGTTACCATAAACCAAATCAACTTATTGTCCCTCCTCCTTTGGAGTCAGTTACCCCCTCTTATTCACTTGACCTCGTTAACCGTTACCAGACCCTTGGTACTATTCAACGCCCTGATTATTCATCTGCATTGGCCTCTGATCCTTTTGTATCTAGCCAATCAGTCTCAGTTACTCCATTCCCAGTTAACCCTATTAAACCATCTCGATCTGAATATACCAATTCACATGTCACCAACCTGTTCTATAAAGAACCCAGTCACCCAAGAAATCAAACCACCAATGACATTGCTAAATTCCATTTTGGCTCTGGATGCCATTTCACCCTTTCCCATCCAGAGAAAACCCTAGCCTATTACAAGGATATTTTAATCAACCACCATTCCATTTTAATCAAGCCAATCCAGGACCGCACCTATGCCTATAAGGTCCTATACCATTCACTTTATATTCACAACATTGTTTCCATGGCTGAATGGGGAAATCCTAATCAGCTTCGTGATCTACCTGGTCATTCTATTTCATAAAATTATTATGATTACGTTGATGCTTGGTTCAAGATTTTCTTGTACCAAAATGAAACTTTTAGTCATTCCTGGTTCATCTCATTTGATCAAAAATTCAAATCTGAGTTACCAACTTGGTTTCTGAGATGGTGGTCTCACTATGGCGCCATTTCAGCTATCCTTCCTGATGATCTCAAAAATATAATTCATTATTTCAACTCTGTTTACCCATTTTCTGCTCACCAGAAGCAATTTCCCTTATTACTCATATTCATTGCCAAATACAAGATTCCCTGGATATTCAAATGGAATTATGGGATTGATGATAATATTATCATCCGCCAACACACAGTTAAATGGTGGGATAAATTCAATGTTCTCAGAATTCTTGAAATTGTTCCAGCAGAATTTCCACCTGATCAATATGCTCCAACTCCTGCTCTTGCTCAAGCCCAGCAGAACCCAACTGCTGCAATCACTCAAGGCAGCCGGCCCAGTCTTCCTCCAGTCAACCTTGGCAGCCCCTCATCCAGTGGCTCCAAGCCCAAATCAACAAAACCAAAGTCCAAAGCTGTTGCTACTCAGCCAGCCCAATCCAAGCCCAAAGCACAGTCCAAAGTCAAGGCAAAGCCCATTCCACCTCCTGTTCAGCCCAAAGGGAAATCCAAAAGTAAAGCCCAATCATCCAAAGCCGACATGATCCAGTTAGCCCATCAACTGTTGAATCAAGCTAAAGCCCAATCCACTGATTCAGATAATTCAGATGATTCAGCTCAGGTCCATTCCTCTGAAGAATCAACCAATCAATATTCCGGACCAGAGTTTCAAGATGCTCAAGACCCATTTATCTGATCAACATTGGATTCCATATAGATACAAATTAGCTTCATTCAATACTCTTTTGAGAAAAGCTGCCAATTTGTATTTATATTGATTCACATGTTCCACCGAAAGTAATAAATAGTAAAAACTACTGTTCACCGTCACTATTCAACCAATCAACTTTTGCTAAAGGCTGCTCATTTGTATAATCACTCCACCGAAAGCATCCGACAGCATCTGCTTTTCACCTGCTCGGCCAGCTGCTTTCAGAATTCACATGCTCACTGTTTTACTTTTCACAACTCCTAAAATTAATTTGTGTATTTTCTAAAACTCTCTAAATATTAGTAGCCACGATAGATTATAAAATGTTTATCTTGTTATCTACTTAACTAAATTTAATATCTCTCTGATTAAAATAATCTCAGCTAATGCAATGGTTTACAATAAAAAAAAACATTTATAATTAAAGGTTGCTAAAAGGAATTCGAAAAGTGATTATTTTAATTAATTTTTTAATTTTTTTATAAAAATATATTAAAAAAAATAAAGAGAATAATGAGTTTGACTGATTTGACTTTTTGATGAATTTTAATAAAAAAATCAACACTCTAAATGAGGTTAATACTCTTAAGAATTAAAATCTTGTTTGGATGGTAATTATTTTAGTTAAAAAAATTAAAAAAATATTATAAATTATCATATTATTTTTTTTAATTTTATTTTAAACATTTTTTTATAAAAAATTAAAAAATTATTAAAATAACTTATTTTCAAACAAGATCTTAATCTCAACATTTGAAAATTACTCTAAAATAATTATATTTAAATCTCAGCCATATTGGCTAGTGGAGCTGGATCGGAATGTTTTGGTCAACCCGTTGGCTTATAACCCGGGTAGGATTCGGATGAGCCGTAAAGTAGTAAACATGACCCGACCCTAATTTCCTGCATAAGTCATAGTGATTATCGACCAATTCCAGTTGTCCCAGTAACTCCTCTCTCTCTCTCTATCTGTCTCTGATCTGACCGCAGTCTGACACCGAGTCCACTCACCGCCGCCATGGACTTCCACACCGCCACCGGCTCGCCGTCGTCCTCCACCTCCTCCTCCGACCCAAACCTCACTAACTCCCACCACCACAACGGCGGTCACAACCACCACGACACCGACCCAATGCATTCCTGGTGGGAGTCCATCTCCAAAGCTCGCTCTCGAATCCACCTCCTCTCCTCCCTCCTCCCTCCCTCCTCCTCCTCCACCGCCGCCTCCCTCGACTCCCTTGCCGACTCCGACCGCCCCGCCCGCTCCCTCCTCTCCTCCTTCTCCGCCTACTCCGCCCTCTCCTCCTCCCTCTCCTCCCCTCTCTCCGGCTCCGGCGATGACCCCCTCTGCCAGTGGCTCTACGAGACCTACCAGTCCTCCGACACCGATCTCCGCCTCGTCGTCCTCTCCTTCATTCCTCTCCTCTCCGGCATCTACCTCTCTCGCATCCACTCCTCCTCCGCCTCCATGCCCTCCCTCGCCGGCTTCGAAGCCGTCCTCCTTTCTCTCTACGCCGCCGAGACCAAATCACGCGCCGGCAAGCCTGTCCTCGTCTCCATTCCTGATCTCTCTCAACCTTCTCTCTACCACACACCTCGAAACAAGCCAAACCCTAACCTAACCACCCAATCTCGACCCTCGATTGGAGTCCTCTCACCCCCTCTCGAGCCCCAAATCGCTGTGAAATCCACCAAACGCGCTTGCATTGTCGGAGTCGCCCTCGATTGCTACTTCAAACAGATCTCTCAGATGCCCAGTTGGTCCAAACTCGATTTCTGCCGATTGGCCTCCGATTGGGCTGGTCAGGACTGTCCCTGCAAATCTGAATTCGATAACAACGAAAACACCATCGAAACGAACGGGTTTTCAGATGGAATTAGGGTTTCTGAAATCGATGATGTTGTAGAAGAGATGGGTAATTTCGGAATTAGCGAAAATGGGACTGTTTCGGCTCCGAAAGGGGCTCGAATTCCACTTCCATGGGAGCTTCTACAGCCTGTGTTGAGAATTCTGGGTCATTGCCTGTTGGCACCTCTCAATGCAGAGGAAGTTAAGGATGCTGCGTCGATGGCGGTGCGGTGTTTGTATGCTAGAGCTTCTCATGACTTGGCTCCTCAGGCCATTTTGGCCACTCGGAGTCTCATTCAGCTAGATAAGAGGGCTCGTGAATCAGCGAGGGCAACCGCAATGGCCACTGCAGTTTCCAATGCTAACACACCTAGTAAAGCTAAGAAGCCGGAGATACTCTTGGTTTCAAAGTGAAGGCAGAGCATGTAAGGTTTCAACTACGATTTTTGGTTTTTCTTGGTAAAACTGTATTTTTTTTGTTTCTGGAGTGTAGTAGGTTAGATTTGTAAGTTGAAATGAATGATTTTCTGTGTTTATATGTTGATAGGTTGGATTGCTCATTGTATTTCTGAGCTATATTGTTGTGCATCAATATGTATTTTGTGGATTCTGTTATTCTTGTATTTTATTTCTGTGATCGTATTTTGTGCAAGCATGTAACCTTTACTTGGAGATTGTTCGATGGTGATTGCTTTTCTCACATACATGTCCAAGTTGTTTTGAAATGTTGATGTTTTCTTGAATATAGTGATGAATGTTCCGAGTGAAATGGATTCTGTATTTCATTGGAGGCCTGGCATCTTGTTCTGCATGATCTACTAGAACTCTAGCCTTTTATCTTTGATTTTGCATTCAATGTTTACTTCTCAACATCGCCATATCATATGTTTCTTCTCATGTGAAAATTGGCGAAATTAGTCATTTTCTTGTTTGATCATTATTAAGTTAAACAGAAATCGGTATGCCACATTCAGTGCAAGCATTCAATGGAAAACTACCTTGTGTACCGTTGGCGCCCTTCTAGTGGCGTTTGATTAATGAGTATTTACTTGTAATAATAAAAAAGGTAGTTTGACAGAATCTATAGACAAGCAGTGATGAGGTCTTAACTGATCGAATGGTTATGATTGATTTGAGATCAGTGTTACCAAAAAATACTAAAAATCTAGTGATTTACATTTTGGAACCCACTTTTTGAAACATGGTACACTTTCATTCCAAAATGATAAATTTAGCGACCTAAAGCAATTTCAAAAATTCTCTTAATTTTCTTAAAGTTTCCCTTAGGATGAAAATAAATGTAGTATATATAGATGAACTAAAACGTAAGGAGAATGGAGAACAAAATATTAAAAAAATGTGCTATAATACTCGTAATAATGTTTTTAAGAAAAATTGCTCTAACAATTAGAGTCACCTTAAATTCCAATAGTGTGATTTATACAAGCCTACCCCTATTGTTCCACATTTTAGAGCACGTCCCACATTGTTCTTGTTCCTCATACCAAAACGATCCGTGTTCCGTGTAACATAGTTTGAGATCCATCCATTTCCCTTTGCTTGGTCAATCACCTTCTTTGCCTTAACTTGTTGGATATTCCTTGACGGGTTTCTGAGTTAAAGGCAATGACTTCTCAAGTCATTAGAGATTGCAAGCATAGATAGCAAGGTTGACGATGCAGAACCATTTTGCACGTTGACCAAACTCTCAAAGGTAACAGATGATTTACTCTAGTTTCCAAACAAAATAATGAAAAACAATAGAAAAGAAAAACAGAAGAACTGGCACCTCGGGCTCTCCTGTCTAGTTTCCATGGTAGCTGGCTTTGTCTCTGGTTTTCGCTGTAATCTGCTATGGTTCTGTTAGACACCTACTAAATTCTTACTGTAACTTGCTTAGTTGTCAGTTTGTTCAATTCCTAGTAATTATAAAACTATCTCAAATTGATGATCATAAATTCTCTAGGTCTATTCCTTTTCTTGTAGTTTTCCCTTTTGGACCTTATTGCTTGTAACAGTTTTAGTTCATTGTGTGTAGAAAAAAAGAAAATGGTTTGTAGGATCATTAATCATATGCCAAACAAACAACATTCATGTGGACTTTGGGTCAGTAAATCATCGTAACTCATGTGATTTTGTGGTTATTAAAGTTGATTTTGGCTCACCATTAAGATTACTAACTGATTATACTATGTTTTGATAAATCATATTGCAAGAAATTGAGTTAATGTGTGAACGAGTAAATCTTTAAAAACTAAACATCAAATCAATATTGATAGATGTTGTATTTCCTTCTGAAGCAATGTATTCATGTACCGATTGGTGGTCATTGAACTTGAGATCACAAAAGAATCAGCAATATTGTTAGATTGATCCCCAAAATGGGAAGACAAATTAATTTTTGCAGCCAACCCAGGTTTACTGAAGACAAATCCGATTCTGATCTGATTTCCATTCAATCAATAATGCCTAGATACTATTATTGTAAAAGTTGGTCATGGAATTGAAGAACAAAATCTGAGTCAACAGAGAAGTTATTGGTGTCTGATGGAGGAAAATTGAAGCCCAGTTAACAAGGCAACCATAGATTCCTCATGGAATCAGAATGGAATATAATTTGATGCAAGAAATACAATTCGCATCATAAATTACATTATTCTCTACATTCTATTGATATTGATTAGACGTGATTGTGAGCGAGCATGAAGCATATGTGAAGCATTGGGAAGAAACATGAAAATGACTACGTTAACCATTCTATTCTACCTGTGTATGGATAATAGAGGATCCTTGCATGTTTACAATGTACAATGTCACGATACTTACATGAGGAAACTTAAAAGTTTTTGTTTTTACCTTCTTAATTCATTACTTTTTTTAGGGTTTTTATTGTTTTGTGTGTTGTGTGTGTGTATGCATTATGTTATTGCTGGGAACTAAGACAAATTTTCTTGTTGCCTTTTCCTCCTCCCTCATCATAGTAGATTTTTGTAGATGAAGATGATTATGTGTGTTAGAATTTCCCATCTTTACCTTCACCTACTCCACTACACACTCCACTTCACCTACCTCCACTTCACCACACTCCACTTCACCTAACCCACTATCACCTCCACTACACCTACTACCACATTTTCTTCTATATATAGATTGTATAGGAATTGTAATTACAACAATCTTGTAATCAATAACAATCAATATTACATAAATTTCAACAATGTGTGTCATTACACCTATGCATTGCTGGGAACTTAGACAAATTTTTTTGTTGCCTTTTCCTTGTCTCTCATCATGGTAGATTTTTGTTGACGAAGATGATTATTGTAAAATTTCCAGGAAGTAATTTGTTTAGTATGACTTGAGTTTGAATTATGATGGCTTTGCTAAAGTGTGTTGTTCACGAGGTTTGGCCAGTCAGCAATACAGATAGACCACAATGACGATAGAGAAAAACATAAACAAGAGTTCCTTGGACAACTCTGACTTGACAATTTTAGTATAATGACTTTTTTAGGTATGGAATTTAAAGAATTGAAGCTGTCCTAAGAGATGAGAACTGAGGTGGTCACTTGATTCTTTTTTGTGCTTGCCTTGTGGAATATGGCTATGGGTGGTCTCAATTTGGGATGGCTAGTATTATACTGTAGGATGCTTCTTATGCTGTTTCATGGGATGCTCATATGTAGTAGTAGCCTATTAGGGTGCTAGCTTCCCTACTAGTTAGATAAAAAATAAAAAAAAAATGAATAAATGTTTTAAAGATAAATGTGCCTTAATACTCGTAAAAATGTTTTTAAGAAAAATTGCTCTAACAATTAGAGGCACCTTAAATTCTAATACTGTGATTTACACAAGCCTACCCCTATTGTTCCACATTTTAGAGCACGTCCCACTTTGTTCCTGTTCCTCGTACCAAAACGATCCATGTTCCGTGTAACATAGTTTGAGATCCATCCATTTCCCTTTGCTTGGTCAACCACCTTCTTGCTTTAACTTGTTGGATATTCCTTGACGGGTTTCTGAGTTAAAGGCAATGACTTCTCAAGTCATTAGAGATTACAAGCATAGATAGCAAGGTTGACGATGCAGAACCATTTTTCACGTTGACCAAACTCTCAAAGGTAACAGATGATTTGCTCTAGTTTCCAAACAGAATAATAAAAAACAATAGAAAAGAAAAACAAAAGAACTGGCACCTCGGGCTCTACTGTCTAGTTTCCATGGTAGCTGGCTTTGTCTCTAGTTTTCGCTGTAATCTGCTATGGTTCTATTAGACACCTACTAAATTCTTACTATAACTTGCTTAGCTGTTAGTTTGTTCAATTCCTAGCAATTATAAAACTATCTCAAATTGATGAGCACAAATTCTCTAGGTCATATTCCTTTCCTCGTAGTTGTCCCTTTTGGACGGAGGTCAAGATCTGTTACCTTTGTTAACCCTTCTATTCAGGCATCGTAGCTATTATATTTTTTCCCTTTGTTCCTCGTACCCACAAACAAATTTCGCCGTAGCTGACAGCCAGCTCTCTTTCCAAAATCCTATTTACCACGTCAAAAAACAATCTACACACATTTGAGTGAACTGCTCGTGATTTTCGGGATACTAAAGAGTACAACATTGTATATCAAAACAATCAACAACAAAGAAAGATAGAAAAGGAGGGACGAAATAACGTATCAAAAAACAAAGTCACCACAATAGCTATCTCACTCCAAAAGCATATTTCTCTACAACATCAAATGTTTTTTGGTACAAAATAAATATAAAAAATCTCCGTGTACAAGTACGCAGATTCCCGATTCAAAATAAAGATGAAACATAATCATTTTCCCGCCTTTGCTTTTTGTCAGGCAATTTGTTTTTATCTTTACTTTACAACCACGCAAACCATTAGACACGTGACACGTGTAAACCACTACCTTATAAGGAATCAAAAGTATTCACACCACTCACACCTAGGCCCGAGTGTGACTTCCTTTACACCACAACCATACACGTGTCCAACATCCATGAATGGACGGCCCAGATTCGCTCCCCTAAGTCACACCAACTCACACCATTCACACCAGGTTTTTTACATAATAGAGAGGCCTTGTATGGCTGGTGTGAGTTTATTGCCTCAGGTCACACCAACTCACATCAGGTTTTTATATAATAGGGAGGCCTTGTACGGCTGGTGTGAGTTTACCGTTCTCCATTACAAAATGTCTTGCCAAGCTTCTTTCTGTTTCTATGCAAAAAATGTTTTCTTCACATACCCACAATGCCCTTGCCCAAAAGAACAACTCCTAGATCTCTTGCAATCACTTTTCGTTCACACATTCATGGATGTTGGACACGTATATGATTGTGGTGTAAAGGAAGTCACATCCGGGCCCAAGTATGAGTGGTGTGAGTACTTTTGATTCACATGTATAATGGTTTGCATGGTTGTAAAGTAAAGATAAAAACAAAGCGCCCGACAAAAAGCAAAGAGCAAAGGTGGGAAAATGATTATGTTTCATCTTTCTTTTGAATGGGGAATTTGCGTACTTGTAAACAGAGATTTTTTATATTTATTTTGTACCAGAAAACATTTGATGTTGTAGAGGAATATGCTTTTGGAGTGGGATAGCTATTGTGGTGACTTTGTTTTTTGGTACCTTGTTTCGTCCCTCCTTTTCTGTCTTTCTTTGTTGTTGATTGTTTCAATATACAATGTTGTACTCCTTAGAAGAGTATCCCGAGAATCACGGATAGTTCACTCAAATGTGTGTAGATTGTTTTTTGACGTGTTTATTAAAGTTGATTTTGGCTCACCATTAAGATTACTAACTGAATATACTATGTTTTGATAAATCATATTGCAAGAAATTGAGTTGTTGTGTGAACAAGTAAATCTTTAATAACTAAACATCAAATCAATGTTGATAGATGTTGTATTTCCTTCTGAAGCACTGTATTCATGCGCTGATTGGTGGTCATTGAACTTGAGATCACAAAAGAATCGGCAATATTGTTAGATTGATCCCCAAAATAGGAAGACAAATTCATTTTTTGCAGCCAACCCAGATTTACTGAAGACAAATGTGCAAGGATTCTGATCTGATTTCCATTCAATCAATAATGCCCAGAACTACTACTGTAAAAGTTGGTCATGGAATTGAAGAACAAAATCTAAGTCGATGGAGAAGTTATTGGTGTCTGATGGAGGAAAATTGAAGCCCAGTTAACAAGGAAACCATAGATTCCTCATGGAATCAGAATGGAATATAATTTGATGCAAGAAATACAATTCACAACATAAATTACGTTATTCTCTACTTTCTATTGATATTGATTAGACGTGATTGTGAGCGAGCATGAAGCATATGTGAAGCATTGGGAAGAAATATGAAAATGACTACGTTAACCATTCTATTCTACCTGTGTATGGATATAGAGTATCCTTTCGTGTTTACAATGCACAATGTCACGGTAGTTACATCAGGGAACTTGAAAGTGTTTTTTTTTCCCCTGTTAATTCATTACTTTTTTTAGGGTTTTTATTGTTTTGTGTGTTGTGCGTGTGTCACCTCTGCATTATGTTATTGCTGGGAACTAAGACAAATTTTCTTGTTGCCTTTTCCTCCTCCCTCATCATAGTAGATTTTTGTAGATGAAGATGATTATGTGTCATTACACCTATGCATTATTGTTGTTATTGCTGGGAACTTTGACAAATTTTTTTGTTGCCTTTTCCGTGTCTCTCATCATAGTAGATTTTTGTAGACAAAGATGATTATTGTAAAATTTCCAGGAAGTAATTTGTTTAGTATGACTTCAGTTTGAATTATGATGGTTTTGCTAAAGTGTGTTGTTCGCGAGGTTTGGCCAGTCAGCAATACAGATAGATTGCAATGACGATAGAGAAAAACATGAACAAGAGTTCCTTGGACAACTCTGACTTATTTAATGGCTTTTTTAGGTATGGAATTTAAAGAATTGAAGCTGTCCTAAGAGATGAGAACTGAGGTGGTCACTTGACTCTTTTTTGTGCTTGCCTTGTGGAATATGGCTATGGTTGGTCTCTATTTGGGATGGCTAGTATTATACTGTAGGATGCTTCTTGTGCTGATTCGTGGGATGCTCATGTGTAGTGGTAGGCTATTAGGGTGCTAGCTTCCCTACTAGTTAAAAAAATAATTAATAAAAAGAAGAAGCTTCCCTTCCTGCTTAATAGTGCTTTTAATTTATGTTATCTAATTATCAACTTTCAGCTTGAGAGAAGTTGTGCCGAACAGAATCAAAAACACGTGGGTCTTGTTTGGTAGTTTATGGGAGTTGTTTATAAGTTTATGTGGAGAGTTTGTGTCAAAATGCTTTGTGCAAATTCTATATAATTGCTTATGAACCCAGGGATGTTTTTAGCCTTTGATAATCAAGGATATGGATAAATAGATGTTATTAATGGAACAAAAACAATAAAGAACAAACAACATTTTATTGACACTGTGAAGGCACCTTGATAGGGCATGCATCAACATGGCAGGATGCAACTTGACACTGCAAGTGTGTGCCAGTTTGAAATATTATTCTGAACTTGTTTGGTGAATTATTTTTAAATTTGAATTTTTTTTTTTTTTTTTTGGGGGGGAATAACTCACCATTAGGAACCACTCAAAAATTGAATTTTTAAAAATTATTTTAACACAAAAATGAATACTACATATTTGTTTGGGATGTTAGTTGACTTTTAGACTATTTGGGCCTAGGGTTAAAAAATTTTGTTTGGGATCAGTTTTTTGGTTTTTTGACTTTTGTAAGAGAAAAAATAAATTGATTATGAGTTGGATGTGACATTTTGGCCTCGTTTGGGAAGTGGCTATTTTAGTAGGCTATTTGGCTATTTTAGTTTTTGTGCTTGGGAAGATGAGATGATTTTTTAGTTGAGTTATTATATTGAAAAGTGTGTTGAAATGATGTTTAAATTTAAAATGACAGATTTATCCCTAACTTTTTATTTTTAAAATTGATATAAACATTTTGCCCTTGCGTGCGGCCTGGACATGTGTAGGCTGTGCCTACACATGTCCCGTTACAGCAGCCTTTATTTTTTTTTTTTTTTTTTTTTTTTTTTTTTGAAAATCAGAGGAAAAGGTGCTACAGTAGAGACTTATGGGCTAATTTTCTAAAAGAGGCTATAATAGCCTAAACCTCTTATTGCCAAACACTCCCTTTGTCTTATTTGACTAAAATATTTTATTTTGTCTTATATGTCTATTTTAGTCCAAATAGGCATTCCAAACGAGGCTTTTATGTAAATGAGTAGTGTTTTTGAACTTTTCTTTGTTTTAACAATATAAAAAAAAAAAAATGAAGAAAATGAAAATGCAAACTCTAAACGTAAAATTGTATGTGCAATATCGGGGTGTTTTGAGAAAATAATAAAAAATTGACTTTTGACTTTTTACCAAGTTTTTGGCTTTTTTAGAAAAATAATTTGAGAAGTTAATAAAAAGTTATTTTTGACTTTTTTGTTTAATATTGTTTATGATGTCACATCATAATAAAATAATCAAATTATCCCCACCAAATGTGAAAAATTTATATTTTCACTCATGTAAATATAAAAAAATATAAAAGATATAATTGTAATTTTATATATGAATTTTTTATTTTAGACTTGCCAAATGACTCTTCACTAAAAACGTCAACTTAACTTTTTTAACAAACAAACTACCAACGTAACTTCTACCAAGTTGTCAAAAAGCACATCATAGAACACAATATTAATGCTAAGAAAAATAATATACAGGCAACTTAAAAATTGACTCTGTGTCGAGCATTGATTGAACGTTAAACGTTTAGTGCTATTGATAGACACGTCAATGCTATTGATCTACACGTCAGTTGGTTTCAAGCCATCTGTTGGCTTAAACTAGTAATTCTCCAATGCCAAACCCAATATTCTACAATTTTATTCTTCCAAAACAATATTGTAGTTAACTTCTTAGAAGATCAAACAAGAGTAGCTAGTAATAATCTATATCCAGACATTCCAAAAATTAGTTATTGACAAAATGAAAGCTTATTCAATTTGGTTTAACCCTAGCCTAGCCCTTTCTTTTTATTCGGACAAAAAACCTAGTCCTTGTTTGAAAATACACCCTATGGCATATTATAGTACTAATTCCAATGTATCAACCTGAAAATTAACCAAATGCCTTTTTGTCTTACAATTCTACGGCATAAAAAATCTGTAAGTTTGAGATATAACTTGATTCCAATTCTATCAATTCGAGGATATAATAACAAAGAATCGATGGCTTAAAATTATCTACGAACTTAATTTTATATTTTTCTAATCATCAAATCACATAAAAATAAACCCTAACACATAAAAATAAACCCCAACAACAGCCGACCTACCATTAAGTGGTCATTTTTGTCTACCATAAACTTGTAATAGTTACAATAGTTTATCAACCATTTTTACCATATAATCAACTCATAAAAATTATAAACGCGAGAAGCCAAAATTCACAGAACATGTACAAGCCATGAGAGGCCAAAAATTTCATTTTAACAAAATAATATAAACATGGGTATTCCACACAATGTTCATTCTAGCTGGAACATCATCATCACATTATATACCCATATATATATATACAAACAATGTAACAATCTTCATAGGATTCTCAGCTGAGAAATCGAGCAGAAAAACAATCACTTTAGTTTTTATCTTCAACAATGAACATCAATTGCTGTACAAATGGGCATATTATTAGAATATCTTCCATTTCATTTCATATCCACCTAATTATCAACACCACCACATTCTTGTTTCTATGATAGCCTGCACATCTAAAACCACACCACTCTCACACTCCACACTGAATTGAACAATGGGTTGTTCTCTTCACTTCTTTATCCACCTTCTTGTTATCTCTCTTCTCGCACTACGCGGTCTCGTTTTCGCCCAAAATGGCATCCAAGAAGCTGAAAGGGAGGCCCTTTTGGCCCTTGCAGACGAGCTCAACAACTCTTTCCTTCATAACAACTGGACCAGTCTCAATTGCTACAATATCGTTATGACCCCATATTGGTACGGTGTAAAGTGTACCAATGGAAGAGTCGCCGAGGTTGTTCTAGAAAACATGGGCCTAACCGGGAAAATCAGGCCCGACACGCTTTTCAACCTCACTGAATTGTCAGTTCTTAGCCTCAAGAACAACTCAATATCGGGGAATATGATGGACTTCTCACAAAATCAGAAGTTGACTCAGATTGACATGTCATCAAACATGTTTGATGGGCTGATCTCTAATTCTCTCCCGGGTCTTGCTTTCCTAGAGTCATTGCAGCTTCAGGACAACATGTTAGCAGGTTCAATACCGGCTTTCAATCAGTCTAGCTTGAAAGAATTCAATGTATCGAACAATGGACTCACCGGGGCAATACCAAACACGAAAGTCCTCCAATCCTTCAATTCCTCATCATTCTCCGGTAACCCACAACTGTGTGGCTCACCATCTTACAATCCCTGCAGCCCTAGCAATAACGATACATCCTCGGATAATAGCCCTAAACCCAGTGGTGTGTCTCGCTTTGCTCCCATTTTGTTAGTCATTGATGTTGTTGGCTTTATTGTTGTTGTGTTCCTCTTCATGATCTACTGCAGAAAGTCTAAACAGCTCAGTAATGCGATGAATATGAGAAGTAGTCGTCCTGTTGAAGGAGTACGTGCAGAGAAGGCTGTGCAAGATATAGAGGTGAGCCAAAGAAGCGAAGGGTATGTAGAATCCGAAGGTGGAGAAGGAGGAGGAGGAGAGAGAGGTAAATTGACATTCATGGATGGCGTGGAGCGGGGTTTTGGGCTTCATGATCTTCTAAAAGCATCCGCGGAGGGTCTGGGGAAAGGAAATTTTGGGAATTGTTATAAGGCCATGGTGGATGATGGACCGGCCGTGGTGGTGAAGAGGCTAAGGGACTTGAGGCCTTTGAGCCATAGCGAGTTTGCGAAACAATTGCAAGCTTTGGCGGACCTGAAACACCCAAACTTGTTGCCTCTCCTCGCTTACTACTACTCCAAAGAAGAGAAGTTGTTGGTTCACAAGCTTGCATCAAATGGAAATGTATATAATCGCATTCATGGTAAGTTGATTTATTACTGAGTCCATTCTTTTGAAGTCTTTTTTTTTTGTTTGTTTGTTTGTTTGTTTTTTTTTTTTTTTTTGTCCGTAATTTGATTTCCTAGGATTTTTTTTTTTTTTTTTTTTTTTTTTTTTGTCCGTAATTTGATTTCCTAGGAAAAATGACTACAAGATTAGAAGGTTTAGAGCATGGTTTTGAGAGTTACATTTTAGTATGAGAAATATTAGGGATCATGAAATTTTTTTCATGAAAATGATCATGAAAAATTTATGACCCTTAGATTATCTTGAGTATTGGGCATGAACTTTGGACTAAACAACATGAAATTTAAACTTATAAGCGAAAATAACAATGATAGAGAGTTCTAATTTTAGAGTTTTAAAGAAAACTTTAGTGATGTGACAAGAGAGGAAAAAAAAACATAGGCACACACATCGCATCACATATGAACCCCACTTCTTACCACATCACTAAAGTTTTCTTTAGAGTTCCAAATCTAGAGTTCTCAATCTTTATTCAAACGAAAATTAGAGTTCTGATGAAATATGTCAATTTAAAGTATTTGTACTAAATTTGTCTAAGCGAGTTATTGATCAATTGAAGTGAATAGGGACAGAACTAGAATTTTTGAATTGGGGGCATAATAAATTTGATATAAAAAATTAAAAATTGGAGGGTCACACTGAATGGATTTTTTCTTGGAAGGACTAATAAATATTTCATGAAATGTTAAATTCCTGATATCAACCAAACATCATCCATTTACTCATTCGCATCCGTACACATTAATTTCACATAACCAAACATGACCATCTCATATAGTTTAGAACTCATATTCGACTATGTACTTAAACTATCCATTCGACTCGATATAATTTGCTTGACTTTACAGGAGGAAGAGGAACAAGAGGCCGAGTCCCATTCCGGTGGACAGCAAGACTGTCAGTAGCCCGCGCAGTGGCACGAGCCATGGACTACCTCCACCTCAACCCACCCAAATCCACCACCACCACCACCACCACCATCTTCCCCCCACACGGCAACCTCAAATCCTCCAATGTCCTCCTCGACAACGACCTCGTCCTCGTCTCCGACTACTCCCTCGCCTCCCTCATCTCCCTCCCCATCGCCGCCCAACGCATGGTCTCCTACAAATCCCCCGAATTCCAAAACTACAAAAGACTTTCCAAAAAATCGGACGTCTGGTCCTTCGGTTGCCTCCTCCTCGAGCTACTCACCGGTCGCGTCTCCGCCCACTCCTCTCCTCCCGGAGTCAACGGCGTTGACCTCTGCGGCTGGGTCCATCGTGCCGTCCGGGAGGAATGGACGGCTGAGATCTTCGACGTTGAGATCGCCGTGCAGCGGAGCGCGACCCACTCTATGCTGAGGCTTTTGCAGATTGCGATAAGGTGCTGTGAAAAGGCGCCAGAAAAGAGGCCGGACATGGCAGAGGTCGCGAGGGAGATTGAGAATATTAAGGTGGTTGTCGACTCCGAGGACTCCGAGGACTTGTCGCAATCGATTACCGATGATTCGATGTCAATGTCGGCGACCCCATCGATTATGAATGGACATTGATCGTGATTTATTTCAAATGTTAATTGCATTATATAAAAATATAATCGAAACTACATTTTTTTTTTTTTTTTGAGTTATTAGCTTTTTTTTGTTAATAATTTTTCTTAGAGTGATGTATTCAGACCGACCATGTATTGATGATTGATTTATATGTTTGTGAGATCCATATGAAAAGAGTCGGCTCTTGATGTAATAATAGAGATGTTATATATTAAAATTACGGTGTTTTAAAGTTTTAAATTGTAAAAATAAAATAAAAAGTCACAATTCAAAAGTCAAAAACTATGTCGTTTTGTAGCATAGCATTCTTATCACACCACATACACCCTAAGTTGTTACCAATCATACAAGTCGACTTTGGTTCAAAGTCAATCTATGCACAATTTTTATTTTTTATGTAATTTGATTGTTTGGCAATATGTCAAAAATAAAATATTAATAGTGGATGGCATGGTGTCACACACGGGCAATGCAGAAGCCTTGACAAAGATATGCAAGTGTGCATAGTGCTAGTTACCTCTCTTCACAAGTCCACCAATAAAGCTCAAAAGGTTTGTAAAGACAAGCGAACACAATATTATTAGTTAAGTTGATAAGTCACAAGATTGGAGACAAGCCACAAAATAGGAAGCAGTAAGCTAAAATTAAAACATGCAACACCAGAAAAACTTTCAAGCAAACACAATTTTATTAGTTAAGTTGATAAGTCACAAGATTGGAGACAAGCCACAAAATAGGAAGCAGTAAGCTAAAATTAAAACATGCAACACCAGAAAAACTTTGCACAACTTAAAGGCGAAATGAATTTTTCATTGATCAAAAGAAGGCATTACAATAGTTGAATAAATGCACCAAAATTGCTACAAAAATTGCCTTACCATAAGTTAGGTTGGGGTACTTTAAAGTCACAAGTAGTCTGCTTCAACACTTAAATACCTCCTCTTTAATATAGCCTGTTAAGCTATTTCCTGACTGGCAAGAGGAAACATTCACTGTGTTTGAAGAGTCATAATGGATTTTCAAAAATTCTACAAAAAGAGAAAAATTACAATACTTGGACCCAAAACACCTTTAATACTAAGGTATTTACATAAAAATTTACAAGGCAAAAAGACTGCATTTAACTCTCCAAAAGCTGGCCTAAAGTTGCTGTTGGACAAGCAAGTCTTTGGCCTGCTGTGGCTAGGCTGCTTCATGGCATGCCTTGGTTTTTGGCTTGTACTTACACCAACAATTTCTTGAGTATGTTTTTGACTCTCCAAATGACACAAATGAGTATGACATCAAGGTGTTACCCTAGGATAGGTGCACCTTGACACATGGCCATGGACAAAATATGGTTTGGAATTGAATGCATTAGATGTTAATCCTCTGTTACATATGTTGATGGTTTCAATAATAAGCTATGATTTTACTTTTGTTCTTTTGGCTAATTATTGTTGTCATCTTGTATTTAATTTATAGTCACGGTTGATACTACTTTTTTTGAAATATTTTACATATAGGTGTTGTCAAAGCTGCCAGTTGTTTCATCAATATTGAAATATTTCACATTGTTGTTGAAAGGGAAAGGCTTCTAGCACTGAGAGTATTGTGCGTCTTTGTCAGTCAATTATGGGATCCATTTGGATAATTATAATCGTTTATAATAGAGTTGATCGAGAAAATTATCCTCACAAAAAAATAATATATATATATTTTTTGAACAATTATAACCACATAATTAAATTACATTTATTACAAAAATTACAAAAAAAAAAAATGGACGATAATGACTTTACAGTTGTTCAACCAAAATTTTCAGTTGGCAATAGATCCTACAATATAAATAGTTCGAATAATTGAGATAAATCCTGTAATGAATCCATAGATGCCCAATAACACCTCCAGTTCAGTTGGCAAGAGAGAAGCCTTACCCTTTGGGACATGACTCACCATCATTTGATAATCTAATTCTAGAAATAACTGAAACTGACTCACTATCATTTGATAATCTAATTCTAGCAATAACTGAAACAGCAATACTGTTAACCCAAAAAAATTATCCAAAAAATTACTTTACAAAAATAAATCAATGCTCTGCAATTATTGCGGATGTAACCCACATTCACTCACTTCAAATCTACGTACTTTCACTTTCGAAGTAAAACTAACGGAAGATAGCATTTTCGTTTCCCATGACACGCATGCAACATACTTGGAAGCATGAAAGACAAGACCAATAATAAACCAACCCCAACTTTTGAAGAATAAAACATCTACATTTCAAACAAATCTGGATAAACAATTTTAAGTTACAAATTGCTAAAAAAAACTGAGGCATAAAAAAGAAATTTGTCCAATTGAATACTAAAAATTGAAGCTCAAAATACTAAACTATCCAACTCACCAGTTACATCCTCACATGTTAATCAATCACCCTCCATTGAAAAACAAAACAAAAACAAAAACAAAAACAAAAATCCTGTGTTTCCACCTTATCGTAACAATTCAGCTCAAGCCAACCAAGATGTCGCATCAGTGAGTGCACAATGGTGAAAACATCAGCTGAATTTACCAATTTCCATTTTCTTCTTTAAAGCCTTCCGACCATGGTATACGAATGAATCTACAATTCCAGCCACTGTGAAGATACCTGCATAAAAAGATAAGGAGATTGCATATTTTACAGACTCTGTCAAAGACTCTAAAGCAACAGAAGGCATAAGCTATAGTGAGCGTAAGAAGATTATAAAATTCAAAAGAATAATTATATGTTGCAATTCATAAATCATAACAAGCAACTATTCAAATTTTTTCTAGTTTTCATAAAAATTAGCTGTAGAAATAGAAAACAATTACATGACAAAGCCACACACTTGAAAATTACAAAATCTTTTTGTTTGCTAAACAAGTTTTCTTTGTTTTTCTAAACATGAAAACACAACCATGCCAGTTTTTTATTATTATTATTATTGTCATTTTTTTCCAAGTCCAACTGAGGTTTGCCCATATTTCAGAAACTTGGCTGCCTTTCAACCGAATTAATAAAAGAATTTTTTTTAAAAAATGTTTTTACTCAAATTGTAAATCCTAATTACCATATTACCAAAATTTTCTATCTGAATATTGACTAATTCAAGTTCAATCAATTAGTTCAAATTCAGCATCACATGAAAATTTGCAAATAATCGGCGAATTTTAAATGGCTTTGTGACCTTGGAGCAAGAAACTACCATTTCGTGGTCAATTAGCAATTGCACAAGCAGAGACAGAAGAAAGGAAAGGGTTACAGGAGAATTAATAAATTGGGTGGCTCTTGTTACCTCCAATTATTGCACAAAGATGTGTGAGAAAGTGTAAGAATGGTGTATGTGCCTCTGTGACAGTCACCTGCAACAAGCAAATGTAATTTGAGAAGTAAGGCAACCAATTTCTCGAGTTCATCACTATAACTTTGAATTTACCACTTTCAAACCATATGCATAGAGCTGTGGATTTTCTAGCAAATTTTTTTGTGTCATCACAAGTGTTCGTGTACTACATTGTATCAAGATCTATGTTACCTAAAACGTGGATCGTTTTGATACGGGAAACAAGAATGGGAACGTTGTACACCAAATGCCCTAAAATGTGGGTACGATAGAAGTAGACTTATATATATTATACTTACGAATTTAAGATACTTTTAAAATAATTTTCTTTTGACTATTAGGAATCTATATTAGGAATCTAATAAAATTTAGTTTTTCTTCTTCATGTAGTAAAACATTTATGAGTACTATGAGTCTATGACCCATTTTTTATGTAGTCTTATCAAAACTTACCTTACATTAGATTTTAATTTAATATATTTGATTTTTTCCTCCTAAGGAAACATTTAAGAAAATTTATTGGCACAAACTTTTGGGATCGTTTCAGATCACTAAATTAACTGTTTTGACATATCAAGATAAGATCTCCACTCAAAACTTTCCAAACCCCAAGAAGATGCTTTGGGTACACAAGATAAGAACTTTCTAAATATAGAAAAGCCTATAAAATGATGGGTTAATTACACCAATATCCCTCAATTATTAACAAAGATCACCTTACTCCTCTCATTTATGTACCCACACATATTGACCCATTCAACTATAAATACCGTAAAACTGCCCCTCTTTAGAAGGTGGTCTGGAGGGAGTGAAAATGACATTTTTATGGTTGAAGAAGTCAAAATATACACGTTCATAGATGTGGTTAAGTTGAAATTCGCTAATAATTGAGGGGATCTTCGTGTAATTAACCCTAAAATGATCCATTTGCAACCCCCAAGAAAGAAAATCAACATAAAAACCTTCATTAATTAATGCTCGACTGGATGCAGAATCAAGACCTAGTTTCCACCAGTTTGTTCAAAATGGAGAAGGAAACGCACCTTAATAGGAGAAAGGTCATAAAAGAAGTAAACTCCATGAGGTGACTGAAAGCGACCAATTTCCGAACCCTTAAAATGCTCTGTCACAGAGAACTGTATATAATAACACCATGCATCTTAGAGCATCCAATGAAAAGAAAAAAACAATGAGAAAGTTCCATCTCCAATAAATGAAGAAATACCTGATTTGACTGAATAGTGCGGCCTCTAACATTAGTGTAAATTGTAGGGACCACCTGGAAGTAAACAAAAAATTCAACTATCATATTAGATTCTGATGTCACAAATTTGAAACACAGCATCTGTACCTTGGCAAACACTAGCAGAAAAGCAAGAAAGAAAACAAGGAAAAAGGCATCTGGTGTGGTTGCATATATCGAATATGCTTCATCCCATCTAAGAAGCACGGACACGGGACACAATGATTTCAAAAAAATGGAGACACGGACACTGTGGGAACAAAACACTAAATTTATATAAACTTTTTATTTGCTATGTAAATTAATATTACATCCGCAAACAATCAAAATTAACAAAAACTAACACTAATTCAATATTGTTTAAAAAAAAATACACTCACACTATTAAGTTAACTCTTATGCTCTATGTCATGAATGATCTATCAATATTTTAAATCTAAACAAAATGTAATGGACATTAAGCATCAACCATCCATTAAAAGCATTAAAGAGCAGAAAAAACAAAACTACTTCGTGAGTCCCCGGCATGTCCAGTTGAAGAAATCTGATTATAATAGCATTGTACGTTCATCTTCTATAAGGATAAAGTAACAATTTCTTCAGATATTGTATAGCATAAAATCAATCTATACATTATTGGTCTCCAATTCAGATATTTTGAAAATTTTGGATATTTTATTGAAGTCACGCGAAAATGTTATTTACAGTCCAATGGATTCAAATTCAGACTCAGGCCTTGGTATACGTACTTCAGTTCAAATTGGAATATCATCAAATCTGTACTGATTTCAACATCTAAACAATCCCAGTGGACGGGTTAAAAAATACTAGCAGGGTGGAAAGGCACTTTCAATGGCAAGTCCATATAACCTACCAAAAAATGCCTCTCTCTCAATAGCAGTAAAGCTTTGAGCAGATTCAAAGAAATTTTGTATAAGATTCATCTAAGAAATTTATCTACCACTTATTTAAGTGGGAATTGTGTGCTCATCCTAGTCAAGGGGACTTGGGAATCCATTCACTGGTAGTAAGAAACACTATTGGCTTCATGGATAAGAGTAGTTCATTTGAGATTTAACCACCATAAAAGACTACTAACCTAGTGGAACTGCATCTTAGACCACACATATTCCAAGATGCCATATATGATCCAACTCTTTTTTCACTGTATGTAAGTATCTTCCTAGGGTTGCAAACAAGGTTTTGAAAAGCGGTTGTGGTCGCCGTAACGGTGGCGGTGGCGCGGTTGCGGTTGCGGGGTGTAAAGGCCGTAGTGTAACGGTTGCGGTAACCGGAACCGTAAATTTTTTTATTTTTCGCACAATTTGAAAAAAACTTACTGATACGCATATTTTTTTTCCATGATCATATTTATTGGGTTAAAAATAAATATTGATCAATTTTTATAAATTTTTAAGTATGATCCAATATATTTCATATTTTCAAATCACTATAAACTGAGTTTTTTACATTTTATTTTAATAATTAATAACTTTATATTATACAAAAAATCAATCACTAACTATTATATATATAAGATAAACAATGATAAAAGTAAGAGAATAAATAAGAGCCTAAATATATATATATATTTTTCTTTTTTTTTTTTTTTGATAAATAATGAGAGATCCTCTTTTTACCTTTTGTGACATATATGTAGCAGCTTCAATTGTCAAATTTTGTTATAATACATCAAAATTTCTAACATTGTAAGCTAGGGCTTACAATTCATGTTAAAGGACAATGCACAACTCTTCGATCATGGACACCAAAATAAAATAAAATTCAATGATATTACATAGTAGCTTGTTTCAGCATTCATTCAGAAAGAAAATCAATTACATTATGAAGTTTTCTTAGCTTTCATCACTAACACACTAAACAAAGAAAAGAAAGGCAAGAAGGAAAATTTCTGAACTCCTGAGAATACTGACCTTGATAAAATACTGGTACATTCCATTTGGTGTTTCGTGAACCCATTGCACCCTGAATGAAAGCAAAAGGAAAAACATTATGCCACTAAAACAACAATATAAAAGGGACTCCCCTGAACTCAGACCTGCAAAATTCTAACAAAATTCAAGATTTAATTTAAATGAAGACCTTATTTCTCTCTCTGTGAAAACTTGATTGTAAAAGGAATGATTTTATTGCATAAGTAAAATTTGTGGAGAAACTATAAACAGGGAGAGTGGGAAGAATAAATTTGTTCTGACAGATGTGAAAAGTAGGCTGACCAAAATTGGTTATCAGGTACTATTTTTTTAATACTGTTATCATTTTTGGGTTCATTTCAAAAACATTAATGCCAAAATAAATTCAAGACTCAGATTTTGTGGGTACCTGGTACCAGCTCACTTTTTATCCCTCCATCATCAGACAACCTTCACATAGAAGCCAGCTATTGATGGTCATGACTATTCAAGACATCCTCCCTACTTGGTTGCACACTCGAGTTCTCCACTACACACTATGGATGTCATGAGTCATGACCATATCGACTCCATTGAAAGGTTATAAGACTAGGCATATGTCGTGAGTGTACAGTGTGCTATCTTATGTATTTCACCACCTTTTCTAGAAGCCTCTAGTCATGCATGAATTTTAGACATTACCGATAATGCAGTAACAGAAATTAAGCAAATGTATCACAGAAATGGTTCTGGGAGATATATATTTTTTAAAAATAAAAATAAAAATAAAAATTACCCGTCAAGGGGATTTACAACTCCTGGAAAATAGTCGCCAAAAGCTAATTTATTGATCTTGTGGCTTATCTGTATAAGCATCATCAAGTTAATAAAATGATCACATGAGGCCAAATAAAATAAACATAGAAAAAAAGAACAAAATGACCAATGCCTAAGGGGATGAGTGTAAGACAAGTATTTAAAAAATCACTTTACTTCTATCATTTTATCCCAAAGATCGTAGGTAGGAAGTCAGTATCTTACATTGTACATATCATTTTGAAAAGCCAGCAACTCATTCAGATGAACATTTGACTGATGAAAGCTCTTCCCAAGGGCAAAATGGAAGTTCCCAGCTACTTTATTAACTTCCAGTGATCCGTGAATGTTGCATCCTTCACCTTCTTCATCTTTAATCTTCTGGACGAAACCTTCTCTTTTGCACTGAATGTTCAGAGTCATATTTATCAGATATTTTATTTTATTTTTTTAATAAAATTGAGATGAAAAAGAAAAATGATAGTCATTTTCTCAAGGTTGGGATCTAATCAAAAACATAAAGCAACTATTCCTGGGTTCCTGTTCACAGCCTTAGAACAACACCTAATTAAACCCAAATCGTTCACAATCTTTTTCCCAATGTGTCCTTTAATTCCACCTCGTTATTGTAAATGTTATAATATAGTGTTGTCCTTAGACTTCCAAATGCTAATCTCTGAAAATCCTGCAATCACACACTTCACAAACGAAGACAAAACGAAAGCCACCACAAATTCACTTGCAAGTAGCCTTAGTGAAACTTTCCTAAACCTATCCTATATTTCTTACCTCTTTGTCTGATAGTTGTTTAGTTTCTCTCTCAAGAAAAAAAAACGTTTCATGTCAAGAAGGAGAGAGAGAGAGAGTGTAACAAGAAGGAAAACATGTGGCAATGTGAAATCCCAGGAGGATATCTTTATAAAAAAAAACACTTGCTAGCCTACAAATATTGGGAAGTGATTGAGACCCCCACCACCCCCCACACACACGTGGCGGGTGGTGATTGGAGGAGAAGGAAAAAAAGAAAAAGAAAAAAGAAAAATTGGCCAATCAGAGAGAGAGGGGGTCAAAGCGGGTGCCTCCTTGCGGGGGTCCAACTCATTTTCCCACAAATATTTTTCATCACTAATAGTGAGAATAAAGAAATAGGGTGACTCGTCTGCACTCACACAAGACAATCAATGTTCAAATAAACCACCCGTGTGTGTTCAGCTATTTTAGATCCTAACTCAAAATGAATCAATATATCTGGTTCCACCAATAAGCATTCTAAAAATAAAGATATTGCACACTAGCCAACCTGGTCAATCAAATCTGGGTTTGTCATTCCCCAACCTTTCTTTCTATACGCTTCACGAACTTCTTCACATGAATTACAACAATCATCATCTGACTGCAAAAGAGAATGAAGAACCTGAGAAACAATTCCTGAAAGAAAATAATTAATGAAGTCACATGCAGAAAGTTCAAGACAAATTGAAACTATTCTTATAGAAACATGAATCAATAAATCAAATTATTTGAGAAAAAAGCCAAGAAGACAATAACAAGAGGATATATTCCCCAAGTCACTTCAGCGGAATGCATCTCTGCCCTCAAACTATTTTTACTGCACCACACTTATCACAAAGATTTGCACTAAAGAAATGCCACTCCTGGGAACTCTCTGCACATCAATTCAAGTGCCTCATGATGCAATCTTCCATACATCTGATTGGAGATTCAGTAATCTATATCGGAAGAAAGGGCAAGAAGAGGATGAAAACCCAAACGTATGGGTGCACCCTCACCTAATAAGATTCAATGAATTGTTCCAAGAAAAGCAATTCAACAAAAGATTCAATGAATCAGCAAAATGCTGAAAGAAGAGAAATTCTATAGCTACTCATTCAAATCTGATAAGATCCTACGAGTGGCCAGAGCAATGCACTCACTGTAAAAGCTCAAAAGGCATCTGCAGACATTTTTCCAATTGATTAGTTTGAAAGTACACATCGATATCGAAAAAGTATTTTTACAACAACTTTCAAGGCAGAGAAGGGAGATAGGCCAATGTACCATTTCTGCACCAAAACATGAACCACAGTATTTCTCATCCTTCTCAAGCCTCCCACCATGTCTCTGCAAAGGCTTCTCAATCTGCATTGGGTCAAAACAAGAGTTACAATATAAGGAACAGAAGAAGAGAAAAGAGGGAGAGACGGGTTCTAAACAAATAAGCATAGGGAAACAGAAAATTTGAAAATGGCTTCATTGTTAAAAGATAATACTTATTAATGACAGAAATAAAACACTCAAGCATCCAATGGTGGTGAAAGAAAATCTTTCCCCAAGGTAATGACTTTTGAGTAAAAAAAAAAATAGGTGCAAGCAAGGTTTCAAAAAGCGGTTGGGGTGGTGCAGTTGCGGTTGCGGTTGCAGGATAAAAGGGCCGTAACATAATAGTTGCAATAACCGGAACTGTGATTTTTTTTATTTTTTGCGCAATTTGAAGAAAGCTTACCGATACGCATATTTTCTTTTTCTAGAATCACATTTAGGCTCCGTTTGGAGACTTACTTTTTTAGCCAATTAGACAAAAAGTTACTAAATTAGCCAAAAAGCCAACAACCCATACAAAAAAGTCAAAGATTCTCTTTTCTCTCTACTTTTTGCACATCTTTTCGTAATTAGCCAAAAAGTCATCCCAAACATACAAGTTTTTTTTACCTACCTTTTTAGCCAAATAGCCAAAAAGTTACTAAATTAGCCTGTTCCCAAACGAGACCTTATTCCCATAACCCAATTCAATAAAGCTTATTAATGACAGAAATAAAACACTCAAGCATCCAATGGTGGTGAAAGAAAATCTTTCCCCAAGGTAATGACTTTTGAGTAAAAAAAAAATAGGTGCAAGCAAGGTTTCAAAAAGCGGTTGGGGTGGTGCAGTTGCGGTTGCGGTTGCGGTTGCGGGATATAAGGGCCGTAACATAATAGTTGCAATAACTGGAACTGTGATTTTTTTTTATTTTTTGCGCAATTTGAAGAAAGCTTACCGATACGCATATTTTCTTTTTCTAGAATCACATTTAGGCCCCGTTTGGGGACTTACTTTTTTAGCCAATTAGACAAAAAGTTACTAAATTAGCCAAAAAGCCAACAACCCATACAAAAAAGTCAAAGATTCTCTTTTCTCTCTACTTTTTGCACATCTTTTCGTAATTAGCCAAAAAGTCATCCCAAACATACAAGTTTTTTTTACCTACCTTTTTAGCCAAATAGCCAAAAAGTTACTAAATTAGCCTGTTCCCAAACGAGGCCTTATTAGGGTTTAAAATAGATTTTGATCAATTTTTGTTAGTTTTTAAGTATGATCTAATATATTTCATATTTTCAAATCACTATAAAAGAAATTTTTTACATTTTATTTCAATAGTTAATGACTTTAAGAATAATTGATTTTAAATGTCTACAAATTATTTTTGACCAAAATACCTGAACTAATTGAATAAAAAATATTCACAATTATTAAATAAAATGATTATAAAAATGAAAATTGTGCCATAAACAAAAATTATTTTTGAGACATTTCTTTAGACAACATTTTACAGGTAACTAAATAAAATTATTTACAATTAAGTATTAAATGAAATGATTATAAAAATAAAAATTGTGTCATAAATAAAAAAATATTTTTGAGTTTTTAAAGACATTTTTTAGACAACACGTTATGCTAACAAAATAAAAAATATTTATAACTAAATATCAAATAAAATGATTATAAAAATAAATACAACTATTGTTTATATATTTTTTATTTTACATGTTAATGTAATGAAATAAAAAAAAAATTAAAATTATAAAAAAAATAAATTCATATAAGATTTTTTCTTTGGGTTTAAATCAATTGAGTATTTGTTCTTTTTTTGTAAGCTTTTATTTATTTATTTTTTTGGAAAGAAAATTATTTATAATATTATAAAAGGATGAAACGGACCGTTACGGCCATTACGTAACACCGAAACGGCTGTTAAACATGAATTTTCGTCACACCGTTATAGCGGCCGTAACAGGTGACGGTAACCACCACAACCATTCCGTAACGGCGTTACGTAACAATTACGGCCGCTTTTTAAAACCTTAGGTGCAAGAGATAATTATTGTGAAATGTCATTGAAGAGAATGACAGACTTTCCTCTAGCTTCAAATTGAAATGCCTTTCAATCTTAGACCAGATCTTTGTAGAGGTATCCCAATTCGGAATCTAGAAATCATAAAAATTTTCCAGGTGCTACTTTCTGAGGAAAAGTTTTGTAACAGGTAAACAAAAGAATTAAGTATAGAAGTAAAACAACATAAAACACCAAAGATAAGTCAAATGGAATCATAATCATAGGGCAGGATCATAGGGCAGGCAAACAGTGAGACACACCCATCGAAAACCACCTCATCATAGCATTCTTTTGTACATTAATTATCACATGCCATGCCAACAATTAAACAATCAAACTAGCCTTACACCGTAAGAGTAAAGAGGCCAAAAACCAACCCCTTGCATCCCTCTCCCAAAGCATTTTTGTCTTTTGTTAACACTTTAGATTCTTCTGTTCTGTTCATAAGGTTTTAGTTGGGAATGATATTGATGATTCCAAAATAAAGGATGAGAAAGAGTCGGTCTCTTTTGAAGATGTGGCCATTGTCAGTGATTTGGAATTAGAAGTTCCTGGAAGCTCTAAGATAAGTGCATGGAATGGAGATGCTAGGTTCAGATTCCAGTAAGGGAGGTGGTAAGACATTAATAGGAAAGGTTGATGGGCTTATGACTAGTTTGGGGTCAATTGACGCCAATTATTTACGGTTTTTGGAGGCTAGAGTGATATGGGAGCCTTCCACTTTTAGGGCTTTTCAGGATTGGGAGGTGGAAGCTGCAGAGGATTTGTTGGAGCAGATGTACAGTGTGAATGTCAATAGGAGAGGATGTAATGAAATCAAATGGAATGGTAATGGCGGTAGATTCTCAGTTAAATCCTTTCATCTTCTCTTACGAGGTAGTACAAAGACCATGTTTTTCCTTGGAAACCTATTCAGAAGACTAGAGCTCCTACCAAGGTTGTTTGGACAACTATGTTAGATGTTATATTTGTTTGGGGTGTCCTAAATAAGTGCACTTTTTGTCTTTTTGGACTAAAAAATTAAGGAAGAAAATATGGATGTTTGGGTTAACTTTTTGACTTTTTATGGAAAAATGTGTATTAAAAAATTGTAAAAATTAATTTGTAGGGAAAAATTCGAATTGGGAGTTGTGCAGCCGTAATTGTTGACTTTTGGTGAATAGTGTTAACTTTTTAACTTTTTGAGTAACTTTTTGACTTTTTGACTTTTTTGCAATATGCCAAACTTGGCCTAACTGTAGATAATCTAGGCAGGAGAGATTTTTCTTGCCTACTTGGTGCAACATGTGCAAAAGGCCAAGGAGTCCGTTGAGCATCTCTTGCTTCATTGTGAGAGATGGCAAGGGACTTGTGTAGTTATGTTGTTTTGGAGCTTTGGTGTTCGGTGGGTGATGCCTCGGACTGTGCATGATCTCTTTAAGTGCTGGGACTTTGGTTGTTGACAGAAGAAAGTGAAGTAGGCTTAGAGAGTGCATTTGGGAAGTAGGCTGTTTTTAATGTTGGCGCATTTGGGAGAGAAAAAATAGAAGGTTCAGAAATGTACAGTTGCTGATGCATAGGCTGAAGTTGAATATTTTGAGAGCAATATCACTTAAACCCACTTAGAAGTCATGTAAACATCACAGTTAAGGACCAGTCCAGAATGCTGACTTGTATACTTCGCTTCGTATGATCATAACCAAAGATCATTTGAGAACATTATGTTACAAATGTAGGTCTCAACTCGTACAGGATATGTACACCACAGCTTCTGAAGAAATTTAGGCCTCGTTTGGAAACAGGTTAATTTAGTAACTTTTTGGCTATTTGGCTAAAAAGGTAGGTAAAAAAAACTTGTATGTTTGGGATGACTTTTTGACTAATTACGAAAAGATGTGCAAAAAGTAGAGAGAAAAGAGAATCTTTGACTTTTTGGTATAAGTTGTTGGCTTTTTGGCTAATTTAAAACTTTTTGACTAATTGGCTAAAAAAGTAAGTCCCCAAACGGGGCCTTAATTACAGAATCAAATTTCACTAACCTTTGGGGCACCAATTCCTTCCTGTCTAACTTCTATTACGTTGCCATGGGAATCTATTCTTTTCTTGAAAATATCATGTCTCTGCAAGTTAAAAGCATATGTACACAACCAATCAGTGAGAAGAAATGGGCATAATTGCTGTGGAAAATTATGTCAGAAGCTATACAAATGAAGCAAAGTAGTTAAAGCAACTATCACTCCACAAGCATTATAGGATACCATTGTGAAAACTGTAAATAAATTAACACAAAGCAACTTTGAACAGCACGTACTATATCAAGATGTTGCTCTCCACTAATATCCATGGCATCGAGACTGAGTATCGAACAAGGAATGGACGGAAAAGTAACATCAAACTGCAATTTCAAGGGAAAAGGGGATGTCAATTAATTATACAATACAAATGAGAAGCAATATCACAAGTTCTTTCTTTTTATAAATTTTTAAAAAAAAATTAAAAACTTTCTTTTTTAAATTAGACGTTTTTATTTATACAATAAAATATTCGTCCACCAGAAAACGTTCGAACTCTGTAACAACTGCAATAAAAATCTCCAATGGGTAGTACGACATTGAAAAAGGCATCTCACATAAAAAATAAAAAGCAAAAAGGTTAAACATGTTATAGATCACAAATGCATAAGTGGTGACTAGTGAGTATCAAAACAAATATCACTGATAATAATGAATGAGATAGGAGTTAATTGGCATTTCCAAAGAGAACATAATGATCTTTACATTGATATGTAGAGTTTCTCCCCTCGAAGTATCCACTACAAGCTTTGTTTCAGTAACAGTGTGGAGATATAACCCTGAAACCAGAACAAGGCATCAGTATAGATGAATAAGAACCTATAACTTCAACCGATCAAAATCACTACAGTTCCTGAGATTAACATCTGTGAAAACATCACTTGTAACATGAAAATTTTGCTGATGCTTTAATAGAAAATCTTTAATAGTTGCATGATATGAACCGAATAGGAGAACAGGCAACTGCAGTAGCATGGGTTCAAGTAAAAAACAGAAAACAGAGGCAGCATCAATGCCGGGTTTCATCTTTCTGCCAACCAGGCATCTTTCATTCTTAGTTGGAGATTCATTCATACACTCATTGCAACCTGATTCCACTTGACACTTCTTTTGCTTCCTAAAAGTTCTGAAGCTCTTTCTAAAACAATATTGGTCGTTTATCTATACACTATAGTTATGATGATTAACATCTGTGAAAACATCACTTGTAACATGAAAATTTTGCTGATGCTTTGATAGAAAATCTTTAATAGTTGCATGATATGAACCGAATAGGAAGTACAGGCAACTGCAGTAGCATGGGCTCAAGTAAAAAACAGAAAACAGAGGCAGCATCAATGCCGGGTTTCATCTTTCTGCCAACCAGGCATCTTTCATTCTTAGTTGGAGATTCGTTCATACACCCATTTCAACCTGATTCCACTTGACACTTCTTTTGCTTCCTAAAAGTTCTGAAGCTCTTTCTGAAACAATATTGGTCGTTTATCTATACACTATAGTTATGATGATTGTACAGTACCATCATAACTACAATAGTTGGGTATCTTTACCACAACTACAATAGACACCAGTCGACGCTAGTACATTGACTTAGCTTGGTTTGTAAACAGAAATTTGTCATAGTCAAGCTTTGAATTGGTGAGATGGAACTTAGCTTGGTCATTGTATGATGCAGCTTAGTCAATGTGAGTTTCAAGTGAAGATCTTCAACTCATTAACTTGAATTCTAAAGAGAATTTTCATTGTAATTTTGGGTTTTAATGAAATCTTGGGGCTTAATTACTTCTTGTTAGGGTTTTGTTAGGCCTATAGAGTGGCCTATTCCTGAGAGAAGGGAATTAAAGTCTTGGAGAGGAAATAACCATCAAAATATTTGGAATAGCTTCACTCTCTGTATGTGTATGTGTCTGTGACAAAGTAAGATAAGAATTCCAATCAAAATATCAACCCTGTATATTCTTGATTCTAATCAATTGATGCCCCAGATTTGCAAGTTGAATTGCAATGAGCAAGTAGTCAACACAAACATAGTTAAACTTATACATGATTCTAATAGAGAAGTAGATGGTTGACAAACCCATGTGCATACATATATATATTGCTATGCTATGTTAAACCCACTAAAGAAAATTAAAAACCCAAAATTGTAATACAGAAATAAGCATAAATATCACACAAAAAGCCTAAAACAGAACCCTAGTTCAGCAGAAGAGAAAGAAGGTCTAGAGAGAGAGAGGACATACTAAGCTCGGAGAAGAAGAGCAAAAGGATAGCGATGGAGGAAACAACGGTGATAACGCCGCCGGAGAGAGTACGGCTGTAGAAATCCTCATTGATTTTAGGGTAAGCATCCAAGTTCCGAAGCTTTCCAAACACTCTATCCATACCCACAAGAATCGAAGCTGAACCCTTCAATTTCTTATACACTTTTCACTATATATAAACATTAAACAGTAAAGTATTCCCCTTTTCTTCCCCCTCACTCTCTCTATATGTCTGATTCTCTCTCTAGAATCCTCTCTGTGGCTTCAAAGAACAAGGCCGGCGCAGAGTGATGAGCTGTTTGTGTGAAGGAAACTCGGTTTTACAAGCACTTGTTCGATTGGATTTTAGTTTTTTGGGGTTTGGTTTGGATTTGGTAAGTTAGAGAAAACCAAAACAATGAGAAGAATGGTAAAGAAAAGGGTGTGGGGTCAGTCAACTCGTTCACACAAAGACAGTCATAAGAACGGAGGATCCAACACTCGTTCTAAAGTCCAACATGGGGGCAGATCTTGGGGGGATGAAGGTCACCAAGATTTTTGCTAAATGTTATCAATTAGTTGTTCTAATTTTACTTTATTATTTTTTAATGTAATTATAAATTTATTTTTTTTTAATTTTAGTTTTTCAATTTGTTTTAGTTTCATGGAAAAATAACTAATCAGTGTTTAGTTGGGAAAAAAAAAACAAAATCAATTCATGGTAAAATTTACAAATTTTAGTTATTAAACTTATAAATTTTTCTATGAAAATGTAATTAATTTTGAAAATTTCCCCTGATTCGTAATTTTTCTTAATTTTATTGCAACTCTTGAACTTTTATATCTTATAATTTTAATAATTAAATCAACAGAGTGTAATTTATTTATATATATATATATATATATATTTTAGATGGAGGATTTTGTTAAATATTTTAACACATGGAAAATAAAATATAGTTAATTACAAACAAGGGTTTATTTTTTGAAGCAATTTAAATAAGTATATTTTTTATTTTTTATTAAAAAATGTACAATGTAATAGAAAGATGATATAATCCAAATAAGATAAAAAGATATGTTAAAATAGTATATGTGAAACAAGACTCCCTAACATAATTAATTAAAACCCCTAATCCTAATCGTAATCTATATATATATCTTCTATACTATATATTAAGCAAAAGGGAGTTTTTAACCCCAAACCTTGTGGGAGTTTCAATCTCCCAATCTAAATTTTATGTTTTTTTTATTTTTTTTAAAAAAAACCTTAGCATTTATTGATTTCTTATCGATTTCTCTCAACTCATAAGACTTTTTCACTTCTCTCATAATTACAACAGTATCCTTTTCAACTTCTCATATATATTATGGCCCTGTTTGATGGCGCTTTTTTTAAGTTAAAAGTTAATAATCATAAAACATAAGCTAAAAGCACCCGTTCTACAGCTTCCAAATAATCAGCTTATTTAAGTTATTTCTGCCTAATAAGTTATAAGCAGAAACTACACCAAACAGTCTAGTACAGACTCCCAAAATTAAAATAAGTTATAATCAACTCCTAGAAGCTGTAATAAACAACCCCTATAGTTATTGATGAGATTGTTGAATTATTTTTATAAAAAATCTAAAAATATAATTTGAATATCTAAAACATAAATAAATATCTATATCTATCTGTTTATACTATATATTAAGTAAAAAGTGGTTTTTAACCCCAAGCCTTGTGGGAGTTCAAATCTCTCATTCTAAATTTTCTAATTTTTTGATTTTAAAAAAAAAACTTAGCATTTATTAACTTCTCTCAACCCCTAAGTCTTACACTTATAATAACACTTTAATGCATTAAGAACAAGTATAAAAAAAATTCTTTGAAATCTAACACATATGAATTCCTTGAAAAGTCCCAACACATATGATTATTACCCCTCATAATAACACTTTAATGCATTAAGAACAAGCATAAAAAAAATTTCTTGAAAAGTCCAACACATATGATTATTATCAAAATATTAAACTTTAATATAATATAATAAAAAAAAGAAGACATTTAATTCCTTGAAAAGTCTAACACATATGATTATTATCAAAATATTAAACTTTAATATAATATAAAAAAGGAAAAAAAAAAAGACATTTAAAAAATAAATAAAAAAAGGCATTTAAAAATCGCAATTCACATATATAGATAATTGTAAATATATTAAGAAAAATGGGGTTTCTAAACCCCAAGCCTTGTGGGAGCTTCAATCTCTCAATCTTTATTTTCTAAATTTTTTATTTAAAAAAAAAAATCTCAGCATTTATTGATTTAGTCAAAATCTTCTGATCAGCATTTATTAACCTTTTTCAATCCATATATCTACATTTATTGATTTGGTTAAAATCCATAATTAGCATTTAAATCCAATCTCCCAATCTAAATTTCTTAATTTTTTGATTTAAAAAAAAAAAAAACCTTAGCATATTTATTAACTTCTTCCAACCCCTAAGTCTTACCCTTATAATAACACTTTAATGCACTAAGAACAAGCATAAAAAAAAATTCTTTGAAATTCAACACATATAAATTCCTTGAAAAGTCCCAAACACATATGATTATTATTCCTTATAATAACACTTTAATGCATTAAGAACAAGTATAAAAAAAAATTCTTGAAAAGTCCAATACATATGATTATTATTAAAATATTAAACTTTAATATAATATAAAAAAGAAAAAAAAAAGACATTTAAAAAATAAATAAAAAAAAGACATTTAAAAATCGCAATTCACATATATAGATAATTGTAAATATATTAAGAAAAATGGGGTTTCTAAACCCCAAGCCTTGTAGGAGCTTCAATCTCTCAATCTTAATTTTCTAAATTTTTGATTTAAAAAAAAAAAACCTCAGCATTTATTGATTTGGTCAAAATCCTTGATCAGCATTTATTAAATTTTTTCAATCCACATCTCTTTCCACATGCCTGCATTTATTGATTTGGTAAAAATCCCCTAATCAGCATTTAAAATCTCATTATACAAATAATTATAGATACAATCCATGTATAGTTACTGCAGTACCCTTTTCAACTTCTCCCATACACTATGGTTAGTGATAAGATTGTTAAATTATTTTTATAAAAAATCTTAAAAAACATAATTTATATATTAAAAAAAATCTAAAACAAATATAGATATCTATAATTATCTCGTGCATAGCACAGATGATAGGCTAGTACTATATATTAAGCAGAAGGAGATTTTTAACCCCCAAGGCCTGTAGGAGCTTCAATACGTCAATCCAAATTTTTTAATATTTTGTTTTTCTTAACAATATGTCAATCCTAATTTTCTAATTTTTTATTTTTAAAAAAAAAATTAACCTCAGCATTTATTAACTTCTTTCAACCCACAAGACTTTTTGACTTCTCTTATAATTACTGCAGTACCTTTTCCAAAACAAATAATTTGTATATTAAAAATTTTTTAAAACAAATATAAATATCTATATCTATATCTATTTATTTATTTATATCTATCTCTAACCTACAAGTTTTGTGTGAGTTCCAATATCTGAACCTTAATTTCTTAATTTTTTTGATTTTTTTTTTTTAAAAAACTTAGCACTTATTAAATTCTTCCAAGTCTTTTAACTTCTCCATTACACACTAAACCCTAAATCTTAAATATAAACACTCACAAAGAAAAAAATGTGATTGTAATGTAATGTGATTGTAGTTTGAATTTTCTAATCCCAATCTGAATTAAAAAATTAAAGTGTGATTGTAAAAAGATTTGTTTGAATTTAATAAGTGCGATTGTAAAAACTTTTGAATTTAAAAAATCAAAGAAAGTCAAAAAAGATTTGGAAGAATTTAATATTTATCACATTTTAAATTCAAACGATCACATTTTTTAACATTTTTTGAATTTAATATGACTTGGAAGATTTTAACATTTTTTTAACATTTTTTAACGATCAAAAAAGATTTTGAAGAATTTAATATTTATCACATTTTAAATTCAAACGATCACTTCTCCAAGTCTTTTTAAAAAAGTTTGAATTTACAATCACACTTTAATTTTTCACAATCGTTTGAATTTAAATTCAAAAGACTTTATCACATTTTAAATTCAAATATTTGTCACATTACATTATAATCACATTTTTTTGAATTTAAAATGACCATCGTTTGATTGTTTTTTGAATTTAAAATGACCACCGTTTGATTGAAATGTAATGTAATATTTATCACATTGTAATGTGACTGTAATGTAATGTGATCATGGGTCTAATATTTATCACATTTTTTGACTTGGAAGAAAGTCAAAAAAGACTTGGAAGAATTTAAAGAAGTTAAAAAGACTTGGAAAAATTTAATAAGTGCTTCTTTAAAAAAAAAATCAAAAAAATTAAGAAATTAAGGTTCAGATATTAGAGTTTTTTGAATTTAAAATGACCATCGTTTGATTGTTTTTTGAATTTAAAATGACCACCGTTTGATTGAAATGTAATGTAATATTTATCACATTGTAATGTGATTGTAATGTAATGTGATCATGGGTCTAATATTTAACACATTTTTTGACTTGGAAGAAAGTCAAAAAAGACTTGGAAGAATTTAAAGAAGTTAAAAAGATTTGAAAGAATTTAATAAATGTTAAGTTTTAAAAAAAAATCAAAAAAATTAAGAAATTAAGGTTCAGATATTAGAACTCCCACAAAACTTGTGGGTTAGAGATAGATATAAATAAATCGATAGATATAGATATAGATATTTATATTTGTTTTAAATTTTTTTTAATATACAAATGATTTGTTTTGGAAAAGGTATTTCAGTGATTATGAAAAAAGTCAAAAAGTCTTGTGAGTTGAGAGAATTTACTAAATGCTGAGGTTAATTTTTTTTTTTAAAAAAAACAAAAAATTAGAAAATTATGATTGACATATTGAAGCTTCCACAGGCCTTGGGATTAAAAGCTCCCATTTTGCTTAATATATAGTATAGATTTAATTTTCTGGTACTAATTTTTAATTAATTTATTAGATACCACACACTACACAACAACACTGCAAGGCCCATTTTTGAAAATGTTAAAACTAATTTTCACCAAAAAAAGAAAATGATAAGACTAAAGAAACTAAACAGTAAAGAGGATTCATAAAGACTGAAGGTATGGGTGTTGGTTTTCTTTCACAATTCAAACCAAAGCAAAATAGCCAAGGACCATATATGGTGCCCCTATTTTGGGTTTCTATTTCCATCGTTTTTTTTGGGACCGCGTGCCCCATTTGAAGCCTTTTGATCGATAGAGGTCAATCTTTTTGGTTCAGTAGATAGCTATGGCTGGCACTAGGAGGTTTTACTGAATTTGATGGTGGTGTTGTTCCTTGGCATGAGATCTTAGGCTGATTGTTTGAATTTGATATTGTTTAAGGAGAATATATAAGAAGTTGTGCAGTTTTTGAGAATTATTTCGGACTTTATTTTCATCATCCAAACCGTTCAATTTTTAAAG